TCAAAGAGAGAGACACGGAAGGGCCCAGGGTCAGGTGGGGCAAGCGGTGGGCACACGACCCAGGCCAGAGGTCCTTTGCCCTGCCAAACCCCCACCACAGCTCTTCCAGGAACTGTGGGGATCTAGGTGCCCAAACACACATTTCACCCCTGCCTCTTCCCCAGCCCCCACGTGCGAGCTCCGTCAGTGTCTGCTGAATAAATGAAAAAACATTCTCAACCCTGCGCTCGAAACAGCTCTCCCAGGTGCCCTCTACTGTGCTGGCTGTTTCACGCCATCACCACACCTGCCAAGCTGCCACACTGACCCTCACTTTGCAGGTGAGGAAACAGGCACTGGGAGGTGAGGACACTCAGCCCAGGCCTCACAGCGTTCCCCCTACCATCCAGGAGCTTCTGGCCTCTTGCCATCCTCCCCCCTACCCTCCTTGTCCCCAGCTTCTGTTCAGAGCCACCAGGGGCCAGGGTGTGAGTAAAGGGTCCAGCAGCTGACACACTCCACGTGGTCTGGCAGTGGGCCCAACCCTGCCGGGCAAAGGCAGATTACACCACCGTCCTTTATTTCAAAAGCGCCGCCCTCTGGCCCAAAGGCTTTCAGAAATCCAGGGACGCTTATCTTTTCTGTCTTGATTCCTTGGGGTAAAAGATTTCCCTGTGGAGATGGAAGTTCTCATTTTTAGGACACAATGCCTAGAATATGGGTTTCTCTGGTTGCTTCTGGAAATTGTGCAATAGGAGAAAAAAATGAATTCAGGAGTAGCCTGGGTAGCTGGAGGTAAACCTTCCAGCACCTCAGGCCCATAGAAGACAGAAACGTGGCCAGAAAGAGAAAGAAAAATACCATGTGATACCACTTACATGTGGACTCTAAAAAAAAAAAAAAAAAGACAAATGAACTAATTTAGAAAACAGAAACAGACACACAGAGATAGAAAACAAACTTATGGTTACTGGGGGAGGAAGTGGGTGGGAAGGGATAAACTGGGGTTCAAGATTTGCAGATACTAACTAATATAATATATATAAAATAAACAAGTTTATACTGTAACGCACAGGGAACTATATGCAATATCTTAAAGTGACATGGTGAAAAAGAATATGAAAACACATATGCGTGTGTTCATGTGTGACTGAAGCACT